TCAATGGTCTACGCGCTAGCTTGTCTTGTAACCAGAAGGTCCTGGGTTCGACCTCTGGCTGTGGGTGGGTACTGCTGAAGAGTCCTAAACTAGTACGAAAGAGCTGTCCAGTACTCCCAGGTTTTCCAATGTTTCTCTAACCAATGTCAGCTCATGGTGAGATACTCCATGCAATCAAACAAAATCCCTACAAAACCAATACTTGAAAACTGTAATTGCATTGATGTTAAGAAATAGAGATTATTTAAAAAACACCAATATTGTTAATGAAAATTATTCTAGAATATTTTGTGTACATAAATATATAATTGTAGAGCCAGAAGACGAGATTATGGAAAAAAATATTTTCTCCGCAAATTTTCTTTCGTCTTCTAAATTACATCACTGTTAAGCTAATGCATAGTTCAATGTTTTGTTGGCTTTATCGAACGGTAATTCCTTACGAAACTAATCGACACACTTCGTACGTTTAAACATACATTTATGTTTATGTGTAAAGACACTGACGAATGGAACGCTTGCGACAGTTTCAGAAATATATCGTAGAGGATACACTTTTACTGTGCGACTGCAGTTTATATATATATATCACATGCTAAAGTCGAAATATTCGAAAAATACACTATGCAGTACGTCAAGTTTAATACTTTTTATTCCACGAATAACCCATGTCGAGACAATAATGAAAATAAAACATGCAGTTCAGCAAAGAGTCTCTTTTTGGGAGGCGAATTCATTCATTTAGCTGTACAATAGCAATTATACATAATTACTTTTTGTATGTGTGCGTACATTCGCTTTTTGCGAAACGAAAATAAAAACTAATTAGGTTTGTTGCTTACGTCATCATCAAAATATTTCAAAAATGTGATGATTAATCAATTTGTAACTAAGGGGTTTGGTGGAGAAAACATGAGTAAAAACGGTAGTGGTGACGAATTGTCAACAAATTCACAACTGTACAATAACAATCACTCTGGAAATGGTAAATAGGGCTAAAATATCTTTTCTTGTTGTGGAATTAACAAGACCACTCGACGGAACCTTAAGAAGGTCAGTGCATAGAAAACCTACTTGGAAAGGTCAACTAACAGCTTCCTAGATTTGAGTGATTTTGAACGAAAAAGAAATCTAATTAAACTCCTTGTCACTGCCTTGACGCGTCTGTAGTTCTGACGTCATGGTAGCAGAACTGAATTTTCACCCAAAATGGGATACCTACTAAGATTTATTCACAAGAATATCAAACCAAAAGTCTAGAGGAACTAAACATTACTTGTTACAAAAAAAATACTTCACATAAACCTGAATTTCATGGCAGACTCAACGTGAAACATCCTTAAGAGGAGAATTTCAACATCTCTGATAAAGAACTTTCTTTGCAGCAGTGCTAAGATCAGTATAGTCAAATCGTCCATTAGTCTATTGAACCTTTAATGACTGGCATCTGCCCCATTCTATGTGCATATATCAGTTCATCATTTACTTTGGAGTTGGGTACATCAATCGTTCAATGCGTATCCTATCCAATAGGGTTCTAGAACGCTATCCCACATGGTTGTAAAAAGATAATATTGGCTCTATAAGGAGTGTCAACACTGACCATTTCCCCCCCCCCAACAAACGCCTACTTCAAAGTTCCCTACAAAGCGGAGAATAACCTACCAAAGATGACGCGCTTTCTTTACCTTTCTATATTGCTGAAGCCTAAACCACTCAGCTGGAAAAGCCAGACTTATGCATAGAAAAGAAAATCGTTCAGCTAGTTCTACTAGCATGTTGACTTCTAATGACTTAATGTTTGAGTTCTTATGTCTTCTAACTCCTTATAACTTTTGTATTTCTCTTTTACAACTCTTGCATAATTCCATAGTTTCCTTCGTTTCCATGTACATCCTAATGAAAATTCACTCATAAAATTATTCAAACAAACTTCAAACCTTCATTAACAGCTGTCTTCGCTCAATACTCAAGATCAGATGGCCAGAAAAGATCAGCAACAGGGATCTCTGGCATTGAGCGAACCAATCAGGAACCGATTGTGAAACAAATAGGCAGAAAGAAATGGAGATGGATTGGCCATACGCTGAGGAAACCATCAAGTGACATCACTAGACAAGCCATTGGTCGAGTGGAACCCGAAAGGGAGGCGGCGAGTTGGTCGTCCAAGGGTGATTTGGAGGAGGTCATGCGAGGAGGAGATGAAAGCATGTGGACAGACCTGGAGCAGGGTGAAAAAGTTGTCAGAAAACCGAAGGCAATGGAGGTGCGCAGCTGAAGCCCTATGTTCCTCTAGGAACTAAAGGATACAATAATAATAATAATAAATTATTCGCCATATTACTCAACTACAATACACTTATTCAACTTCTCTTATGCACTGACTAACACTTTTTGACAACTCATCACCACTATCCTCTTATTAAACTTCAACCCCTTCTCAATCTGAGTATTCATCACATCTTTTACCATACTTTGATGACGTAAACACTAAACCTGAGGTACACACACATGCATGTATTAGCAGAAATGTTAGCTCATAAACCATTGGATCGAGTTCCAGTAGCTACTGATCAGTCTACCAGCTAGCCGCCTTATAATCAGAAGGTGGGTGCTAACTGCTGAAAAGTCGCAGACTAGGCTGACAAAACAGTTAGCTGCCCAGTACTCCTTACAAGTCTTTTCAAAAGTTCTATAACCAATGTCAGTTTATTGATGTAATCTAAAAACGTAATTATTATTCTTACTTTTATTTTGACTACAGCTTTATTTCACACCGTATTTTTGGTATAGGTTTTGAAATTTTCAGCATATAATATCGTTAGCCCAAATTTTACAGGCCAACCATAGATTACTAAGTGTGCATCGGCAGGGGATCGAACCCCGAAGCATGCGTATGGTCGGCAAGACTCAAAATTGCTGTGCAACTTACGTAACTGTACAGCTACGTAAATGAAATCGCCTCTTAAAAAAAACAAAAAGACTCTTCACTGAACTCCATGTGTTTTGTCTTTTCATTAAGACAATCTAATACAGGTATATAAATTAGCTGCAGGCTTTCAGCCTATTATCACCAATGATATTCCTAATAATGGTGGACTGACTGGATTATGAGTCAGACAGTGGAAACGAGAGGACAGAAATATCCTGAACCGACGTGAAGAACCTAGAGGACCTGGATTTCGCGACTGGATGACTTATGTTTGATGTCACACAAAATCAAAGACTTACAAGAGAATACTGACAAACTGATCGAAGAAGCAGCCAGCGAAGACATGACTCCATGTGAACATAGACAAGACGGAGGTTTTGAAAATAACCAACTAACAACAACAACAGCAACAACAGCACCAACATCCTGCGCCAATCACAATCAACGGGAGGGATTTGAAAGAGGTTACTTCATTCATTCACTTATCTAGGGAGCATTGTCTCAACTACAGGCAGTCGGAACGGACGAGGATGTCAAATCGAGAATCATCGGGAAGGCGAGAAACACACATGATTCATCAACCTAAAATCAATCTGGAAATCTTCGTCACTCAGCGAGCATCAACAACGAAATTCGGTCGGATTTTCAATACAAACAACATCAAGTCAGTTCTTCTATACGGATCAGAAACTTGACGGGCGAGTCACAGAGAATATTTCCAACAGGCTATTGCAGACCTTTATTAACAACTGTCTTCGCTCTATACTGAAAGAAGATCAGAGGGCCGGACCGGAAAGAATCACCAACAAGAAACTATGGGAACAAACAAAACAAGAACCAATCGTCAACCAACAAATAAGCAGAAGAAAGTGGAGATGGATTGGATGGACATTCGCTGAGGAGGCCGCTGGGTGACATCGCGCGCGCGTCAGGCCATTGCTCGAGTGGAACCAAGCCGAAAGAGAAGTGGTGTGTGGGACGTCAGTGCAAGGTGTGTGACATGGAGGAGATCGTGTGAAGAGGAGTTGAAACAGTATGGACTAACATGGATGATGCAGGTGAAAAGTATAGCAGAAGGAAGACAAAAGTGGTAAATGGAGACGTGCAGTTGACGCCCTATATTCCACTAGGAACCCAAGGGAACAATAATAATCATAATAACAATATTAATTAGCTATTTGAATATGAAGAGGTGAAACTTTTGCTTTCAAAATGAAATAGCACACAGACAATACAAAAAACACAGAATACGTTGGTCATTATTGCCAAGAGATATATTATTATTATTTTTATTATTGATATTATTACTATTATCATTAATATTATTATTACTATTGTTGTTGTTTTGTCAAAGAGTATATGCATAGACGCCCATTTGTTTGAGATCTTTTTTGTGCATATACATCAACAAAATCAATCATACAATGATATTCATCTATCTCAATTTGGTGTACTTACTTCATTCATTGAAAAGTGTTCACAATTTTGCTTTTGCACAGAATTAACATGTGTCGAAGGTGAAGAAAACAAAACTGCAAAGGAAGTAGTATGACGTAACAAGGGAGAGAGAGAGTACTTTTTGTGTGTGTGAAATAGTGTCAATTTTTGTTTTCTTTCAAAAAGCTGAAATCAAATTGATTATGAAAAATGTATAAAAAAGGTTATAGAAAATCCATATAGAATTGAAATTTTTCAAAAGATGAAAGATTGTCAGGGAAGCGCGCGCGCGAGACAGAGAGAGAGAGAGACAGTCAGTGATCAAATGATCAAATGAATATATGGTACCATGTGAAATTTCATTACTAAGTGAACACTTTCTACTGTTCGATTATTTTGATTGATTCATTGACTGATTGATTGATTGATTGATTGATCGATTGATTGATTAGCTGACTGATTGGTCTTATTCGACTAGTTCACATCCCAAACTGACGACGACAACAACAACAACAACAGCTGATAACAACATCAAAATAATCAGAGATAATATCAATGCGAGAGAGAGAGAGTGTGTGTGATAGACATGGAGAGAGATTGACAGAGGAAACCAGATAGCGAGTGTGGTTTTCTATAAGTTGAATTTTGATTGTGACATTTTCTCTTTATATGGAATGATTGTATTGACATTTTGCAGGTGTCTTGCACGTTTCAACCATTTTTTATGTCTCATTTGCTTACTCATACATTCATTCCATTCATTGATTGATAGCATGATCTCATTGTATACAAAATAACTACTGTTTGGCATTGGAGTGAATGCATACAACAATTTAGCGTAGATCATTTTAATGCGTAATTTTTCCTCCAAATCATTAGAACTTTCAAAATTTGTTTCTTGTTTTTCTAAATAATCAAATAACTTTGATAAAAACATGTCAATTGGATGTGGACCACACGGGAAATCGATAGCGAAAGATGCATCTTCAGTTGGACTAGCACTAGTGCTTACAATATTCCCAAGTGTACAGATTGTAATATATAATAATATTAATAATAATAATAATGATTTATGAGATTTATACAAGTCAGTATGATGATTCCGTGTCATTATCCACAAGTCTGGATACAGATGGTTATTACCTGGCAAACTTGACTCACTTTGTGACTAGTGTTTCTTGAAGGAGATTATATGCTTATATATAGTTGTTGTTGTTTTGTGTGTGTGTGCGTTTTTGTTTTGTTTTGTTCTGTTCTCCTTTGAATGGGTGAAGAGACAATAGCAATAGGAAAGTAAATAAAATTCTTTTTGTTAATCAAATGAATAGTATTCATAAGAATGTTATTAGGTGAGATGATAGGTGTTTCAAAAAGACAAATTAAGTGATAAGTTTATCGGGATGCTTTATTTTAATTGGTCAATTTTTTTCATCACAGACAGTGAATTTGATTGGCTAACTTGAATTGACCAATGAGAATTGAGTCTCATGTTTTAAACAATTACAGCTTTGCATGGAGGATTTAATCATGAGCTGACATCGGTTAGAGAACCACTGGAAAACCTGGGAGTACTGGACAGCCGTTTCGTCCTAGTTTGGGACTCCTCAGCAGTGCGCACCCACCGCCATGGTTCGAACCCAGGACCTCCTGGTTACAAGGCGAGCTCGTAGACCATTGAGCCACTGGACCCGTACTTCTGAGGAGTCCCAAACTAGGACAAAACGGCTGTCCAGTACTCCCAGGTTTTCCAGTGGTTCTCTAACAGATGTCAGCTTATGATTAAATCCTCCATGCAATCAAACAAAATCCCTACAAAAAAACCAATACTTGAAAATTCATCTGATGCTCACTAGTGACTGGCCCTATTCAGGCAGTTAACCTGGGGTTCTAGTGGGAAGCCGTGACCAGTAGGGTACAGCAGGTCGAAGATGAGGCAGTAACTCATCGAAGAAGATATTGCAAAATGGTCGCGCTATGTCGTGAACTGGCAGAAGTTAGAATTCAAGAACCATTGGATTGGGTCCCAGTGGCTCAATGGTCTACGCGCTAGCTTGTCTTGTAACCAGAAGGTCCTTGGTTCGACCTCTGGCGGTGGGTGCGTACTGATGAAGAGTCCTAAACTAGTACGAAAGAGCTGTCCAGTACTCCCCGCAGGTTTTCCAATGTTTCTCTAACCGATGTCAGCTCATGATTAAATCCTCCATACAATCAAACAAAATCCCTACAAAAAAACCAATACTTGAAAATTACAGCTTTCGCGTTATATGTTTTTATTTTATACATTTTTTGAGGCTTATTCATAGTAGCCTTATTGCTTTTAGATGATAGTAAGTTTTAACGATCTTCTAAACACCTGCCTAATACTGTTATTACCTATGAAAGTAGAAGTTTTTTGTTGAAACTTAGGTAACAATTGTAATAAAACAACGTCAAAACAGTTTTTTCTAGCATTAAATTCTGATAAAGTTCTCAAGTGAGATGAAACAGAGTTATTCACAGTGTTTAAAATGACATTGTTCCATTATTATTATTATTATTATATTACTGTTCCCTTGGATTCCGAGTAGAACATAGGGCTCCAACTACACATCTTCACTTCCATCTATCTGGTGAAGTCCTCTTCAGCTTGACACACGGTTATCCCCATAATCGCTAATCTCCTCCTCCTCGTCACACTATCTCCTCCATGTCAACCCTAGACCATTAACAATTCGTCGTTTTCCATTCAGATTACACTCAAGAGATGGTCTGCATTCAGCGTGGTTTCATTCCACAGTCTCCTACGTATCTGCCGTAACGATCTCCATGTTCTCTTACATATTTTTCTGGACATTCGATCTTCAATATGATGAGAAGTGGACAGCTGTTAATAAAAGCCTGCAGCTGGCTGTTCAAAATGCTTTATGTGACTTGCAGTCCACGTTTCTGACCTATAGAGAAGAATTGACTGCCGGTTCACATAAATTTTCTTTGGCGAAGGTTTATAGTGCATCATACAGTGTTTTAAATTTATATTTTAGGGGGTACAAATACGAGCTCGATCGAACAACCACTTGCCCTCTTTTCTTATGCTATTAACACACATATTCTTTGAGTTTGTAATTCAGACATATCACAGCCAGATAGGTTCTGAAACCTTTTCCGTGATCAATCTTGACTTTTTATTAAATCCAAATATACTGCTCATCACAGCAGATTACTCACTGAACAGAGGCTATTTTATCTAAGAATGCATATCCCGAGAAGTTGATTATTAAATAAAGAAATGAGCTCCTGTAAAACTATTTTAAGCAGTTCCGAAGAAATCTGTCTATATCGATTTGTCCTTCAAAGAAGATAATGTACAAGAGGTAGTCAAACGAAGACTTGTCATCAACAGAAGTTATTATGTTGCAAAACTCGTCTTCCTTAACATTACCAAGCTAGTGTTTCAAAAATCTGCGATAGGCTGGTGTCCGATCCTCAGCACTTCAGACGGCGTATTTCAATTTCAGTGTGTCTACACAAGTAAATACATATGTCGTACAGAAAGGCGATTGTCCATTCGCATGATGGATCATTTGTCAAAGTGATTGAAAACAGCTGAGTTCCGAGTGTGAAAAGCTCAATAACAAAGCACCTTGTGGACTGCGGACATGATATCGACGCTATCAAACCATTCACTGTTGTCAGTAGACAAAGAAACAGAAGGATGCTTGCAATTGCAGAGGCTTGTGCGATTCTGGTTTATAAATTAGGTCTCTGGAATTCAATATTCTTGCAGAATATACATTTAATCCGCATAATTATACTACTTACAAACCTTATTAGTAACGGATGCCAGACCATAGTAGAGCTTTTCTCATTTCTTATCTTATTACAGTATAATAATTTAAACTTCACTAAGTCTTGCTGCTCCGTTGATCTAACCGAATCTGACCCAAAAAATAGGCTTATGTATTTGACTTTACAATCATTTCAAGGTTTTAGATAGACTAAATTATGTTATGCGAGTGACTTGATACGATTATGAGTGGCAATAATTTGTACTCGAAACATCGTCATCAGTTAATGTTACTGTATCACAACACTATATGATTTATTAAAATTTAAATCTTATCTATAATTGAGTTATAGTCTACCACCACAGTGCCCAAGTTTTATAATTAATTCTGAAATAAACTTTACTGGATTTAGTCGACATATTTGTTTCTAGATGAATTTGTTGGTTTAGAGGCCAAACTCATCCCTACCTTGGTAAGAATCCTGCCTAAGGTTTCACAGATTCCCTCTATGTATGAAAGTACTGCTGATATTTTAAATTCCCTCGTATCGGTGTTGTCATCTTTAAGTTTCTGTGTATGTGTGTGTCTATCATTCATGTAATCCTTAAAATTGGTATTATCATTCTTGTAATCCAAAACGGGAAACTTACAGAAGCCCTCGAAGTGAGGACGGGAGTGAGGCAAGGCTGTCTACTATCACCAATGATCTTCCCGATTGCAGTAGACTGGATAATGAGACAGACACCGAGGAAACAGGCATAAAATGGACTCACACAAAAAAATTCGAGGATCTGGACTTCGCCGTCTGATTTCCCACAAACTGGAAGATATGCAAGTGAAAAGCAACAAGTTGGCGATGGAAGAAGCATCAAATATAGGACTTCAGGTGAACATACAGAAAAGAGAGATGATGAAGATTCCTGGCCAACATCAACAGCAACAACAACAGACAACAATCAGCCAGCGTAAATAGGAGGAACCTGAAAGAAACAAACCCTTTTACCTACCTTCCTGAGAAGCATCGTTTCAGCTACAGGTGAAGAGAACAGACGAGGACATCAAAGCCAGAATCGAGACAGCAAGACAAGCTTTCATTACTCTCAAGTCTGTGTGGAGGTCAACAGTACTAACCATCAAAAATAAGATCCGGATTTTCAACTTCAATGTAAAGTCAGTGCTACTATACGGATCAGGGACTTGGCGCGTCATAAAGAGCACCTCAAACAAACTACAGACCTTCATTAACAGTTGTCTTCGCTCAATACTCAAGATCAGATGGCCGGCCAGAAAAGATCAGCAATAGGGATCTCTGGGAGCGAACTAACGCAGTAGGAACCGATTGTGCAACAAATAGGCAGAAAGAAATGGAGATGGATTGGCCATACGCTGAGGAAACTATCAAGTGACATCACTAGAAAAACCATTGCTCGAGTGGAACCCGAAAGGGAAGAGGTGAGTTGGTTGTCAGTTCTAGGGTGACTTGGAGGAGGTCACGTGAAGAGGAGATGAAAGCATGTGGGAAGACTTGGAGCGGAGTGAAAAAGTTGGCATAAAACAGAAGGCGATTGAGACGCGCAGCTGAAGCCCTATGTTCCTCTAGGAATTAAAGGATATATAATAATTATTATTCTTGTGATTCCCTATTTACTTCCTGAATAAATTATCCGAGTGAATATTAAGTGTCAGAGCCTTTATTGTATGTCTTCCTCCTTTTTGCAGACTTTGTTTGGTATGATATAGCTGTTTGTAAAAGTAGAATGTTTCATCATTAATTGTAACAAGCTGCGATTCTCCATATTAGTTTGTTTATTAGATGTATCACACATAGTGTGAAACAGTATTATTATATACTCGATGACAAGGTTTCGAACAAAATTTATTGCTCATAATCATTTCGTCAATTGCAATCACACAACTTCGAAACTTGTGTTTTACAGTTTTTTCTTTGTTCTCTCCTATTCGTCGTCATAGGGGTAGTCGAATTTTCCAGATATCTGGGACAGGTGTTGAATAATTCCTGTGACACGTATTTGCAGTTGATTCGATAAGTAAAGCTTCCGTTATCAATCTCTCTCTCTCCTCACAAAACTAAGTAGTACCAAGGGAAATCTAAGATAGGAAGTGAGACATACAAGACAAGCTTTGAAACTTAATAATAATCCTGATAAATTAGTCAGGAAATATGTAAAAAAATGCAAAAATAAAATCAATGATAGTAATAATAATAATTTTAGTGACGAGATGCATGTCAAACATACGCACGATAATGACAACACCAACAATAAGGAATCTTAATCATCAGGAGTAATTCCATACAAGGAAGGAAGCTCGCAAATTTTACAGAGAA